GAGACCGGGTCAAGCGTGGGATGGGTGGGCCACGGCCACGGCCCGAGAAGTATAAAGCACACATCAGCTTGGCGGAGCCCCGCCCACAGTGGGCGTGGTGTGCATCGAAATGAGCTGTACTGAGGACCGAGGATTTCAAATTTACTCACAAGACGGCTTCAAAACCGGGGTGTAAAGGTGGCTAGAGGTGTGCATTGATCCAAGGTTAGATCCAACTGGGGAAACCCACCATCGATGGGTGGGGCGATCTCCGAATGCTTTATGAAAACATTTATAACTCGGTTTGGAGAAAGCCAACAGAGCTGGAAAAGTTGATGTGGGAGAAGAAAATGTCGTCAGCGGAGGCCCGCCCACAATGGGCGGAGCGTGCCTCGAAGCTCACATACCTTCTTACATTTCTATACGAAAATTCATAACTTCTGTCCCCGTGGACCTAGAATGTTCAAACTCGGTATGAGTACACGAGACAGGATGTAATGCTCATATTGGGTATTAGGACCACATCCTGCCCACAGGGGGCAGAGTCTATGCGAAGCAAATGTTTGAGCGGAAAATCATATCTTCTGTTCCCGTGCCTCGAATATTCAAGGTTGGTAGGGGTACAGGCGGTGGGATGAGAACAGACATGGTGGGTAGCAAAACCGGACTCCGCCCGCAATAGTCTGGGTTTGGGCAGAAGCAGAACTCCTGTTTCCGTGAAATTAGAGCGTTTAAATCTAAGAAGGAGTACAGCTGGCAGTATAGGATTACCTGTGGTGGGTGGCAAGACCAGGCCCCGCCCACATAGACGGGGTTTTCGTTGAAATTGTCAATTTGGCCTTAGTGCGTTCCAGCCCGGTAGGAGGGACACTGTCGATGGAAGAGGCTTGATAAAGCAATATTCACTCACCAATTGAATCCGACGCCTTTGTTATTTACTCTCTGACTCCATTCGACAAGAAGGGTAAGTGAAGTGATAGGGACCGACTGAGAGAACTGGTTTTCAAGGAGATGAAGACTACTTCATCCTTTGCTAATAGGTTACGACCGTAACCCAGCAAAATTTGCCTCAATGACGAATCACTGTTTCTTTTCGCTTCGATATCATTCTTGGCAAAACTTTCTCGACCGCTTATAATCCTAGACTCTCATTTAGCGGTATATCCGTAGAGGAAGTTAGCTATATTGATAAAGACGTTTGATAATGGTATGGTTCGACAACAGCTGTAAGTACCATTCAGGAGCCACACACAATCAGCTGATCGCCGAGTGATAAGGCGATGTTTTTCTATCACTCTTTTATTCCCTGTTATTCTTTTTGCTGCTGCGATCCTTATTTCGAAGCGAAGGGAAGTCTGGCGTTAGCCGCTAGACTAGTAATTATAATTGTAAATTTATACCCAGAGTCGTTTGGCAGATTTGGAGTGGAGTTTTGAGATCGGCGCTCAAAAACCGATACAATCGTAGACATTTGTGTGTGTATGTATACGTACATACGTGTGTGTGCAGTTTTGTGTTTAGAGTGTTTTGTGCTTTGCTTATCTACCAGTTGAACCTTCAGTAGGTCATTATTCTAAAGATGAACAACAACAGACTGAGATTTCTAATCATTGGCATAAGCATTGGCTCATCTTGAATACATCTTGCATGTCCTGTTAGTACTCTGTCGAACTTCATGTTCCGAAAAACATCATTCGGTCGTAATGATTTGCCGATCATTATAACCCTCCTATAAGAGAAGGGAAGTCTGGCGTTAGCCGCCACACTAGTAATTATAATTGTAACTTTATATCCAGAGTCGTTTGGCAGATTTGGAGTGGAGTTTTGAGAACGGCGCTCAAAAACCGGTGCAATCGTAGACATTTGCGTGTGTGTGTGCAGTTTTGTGTTTAGATAGTGTAGATAGATGTGTGTATGTTTCGGTATGTGCGTGTTGGTGTATGTATGTCGGTGTGTCTTGTCTTTGTGTGCGTCGGTGTTTGTAGGTGTGTTCGTAGGTGTACGTTTGTGTGGAGATGCGTAAAGATGTGTGTGTGTACATTTGTGTGTATAGCTGTGTGCGTATGCGTATGCAGTTGTGTAGGTGTTCGCGTGTAGATATGTTCGCAAAGTAGAAAGCATGCAGGCAGCATGTCAATTTCATTAGGAACTGAGCGAAAGTCGGGCTTCAGATGGCCGTTCAAATTGTTACTTGAGAATCCTGTTTACTGTCTTCCGAGTAGCTGTCTTGAAGGCCTGTATTGAAAGCTTCTAGATAGATAGACATATCCGATAGATTTAGCAGCCAGGTCAAACGCAGTTTTTGAAATACCGATTTCATACGGGATTTTATGAGCACAATTGTGAAGTTTCATACCTTTGGAATTAGTGCATGGTGTGCCCTTTGCTGAACAAGCCTTTCCATATAGCAAACCCTGAAAATCAGGCTACAGCGGATACGTTTACGAGGATGGCTTTAAAAGGTATACAACTTGTGAGCAGGGCTTGCAGTCTCTCATTCTGCTAGAATTGGGCATTATTAGTTTCGTCAAACAATTCACTTTGATCCCATAAAAAAGGCGATGATGCATACACGTGAGTGACTACGTAGTTATCACACCATATTACGGCACTGTACAGCTTTCTTCCTCTATAACTTGACCTGATGACAAGGGACTGACTCTGTGGAGGTATTGGCTGCTTTCATAGTCCGCCGGCCGGCCGGCCGGCCGGCGTGCCGGCGGAGACAGTGCTAGGGGGGAGGAGGGAGGCAGACAGTGTAAGGCAAACAGTCCACGCCCCTTCGAAGGTTGTTTGTTTTAAACCCCTCGAAGGGGCGTGGACTGTTTGCCTATCCGTCTGCTTCCCTCCTCCCCGCTAGCACTGCCTCCACGTCGACGTGCCGGCCGGCCGCCCGGCCGGCGGACTATGAAAGCAGCCATTGAGGTTTGATTGGTCAGGTTATGAGCATATGTACTGGTCACATCTCATACAACGTCTCTATATAATGCTCTTTTCCGTTGTAACAATTACCAGGTACAGCTAGGTACAGTTAATAGGTTACAGAAGTGAAATATTCATCATAATGTTTCTGGTGAATCTTACTCAAAGAGAGGACAGAGTGGGATAATATGAAATGGCATCATGATTGGCATTGTGACTAAGGATTTCGGTGCTAATGTCAAGAATGTTATGAGACAAGTTATCGAGCCAAAACCTCCAACGAGGACAATCTTTCTGAAAAAGCAACAAATACGTTACAAAAACAACATTGAGATATGCAAACATAATAGAATTTTGTTTCTCTTGACTACATGTTACTCCTCGATACCGTCATCAAGCATACGACCTCGAGAGCTACTTCGCGTATTCACGGCTGTACTCGACATCTAAAATGCAGAATTTTTGGTATTCTATTCACAAGGAATGCAGACCGATCAAAAGCACATTAATGGAATGTAGGAAATTATGTGCTTGGCTTCAAGATGAAGCAAGTTTGCTAGGACTCATCCGAAATGGATCTTCCAAGTTGCAAAGCATGACATCTAACTTGAATACAGTTTGACCCAATTTGAAGTAAGCCGCTTTTCCTGGATATCAGAAGAATATCATCTAATGAATGGCCTGTATGTTGGGCGCTAATGCTTACACTATGCAACTTGAAAACCTGGTGTTCTAGCGAAGAATGCCTAATGATAGCGGATGAAAGTGAGGGTTTCCTTATCAAATTACGAACTTCGAATATATTCCATTCTTACCGAATGTGAGAGTGTTCTGTACGAGCCACTTCGATTCTTTAGCCTCATTTTAGCTAATGCATTTTCTGCTGCATCGGCACGTTCTTCGGCATCTTCGAGAGCATGTTGGAGTTGGCGGTATTTAGCTAGATTTTGCGCAGCTAAGCCTTCCTGAACATAATAAATAACTTTCACAACTCAGCGCTGCTGTTCCGCTGCTTTGCCACAAACAAAGTATAAAACTAGTTTATCATGGTCGTAAGAGCAATGAAGGCGTATATAAGGAAAAGTTAGAGCAGAATGAAAAGAACGGCTGCTTTCATAGTCCGCCGGCCGGCCGGCGTGCCGGCGTGCTGACCGGCCGGCCGGCCGGCGTGCCAGCGGAGGCAGTGCTAGGGGGGAGGAGGGAGGCAGACAGTGTAAGGCAAACAGTCCACGCCCCTTCGAAGGTTGTTTGTTTTCAGCCCCTCGAAGGGGCGTGGACTGTTTGCCTATTTGTCTGCCTCTCTCTTCCCCCCTAGCACTTCCTCCGCCGGCACGCCGGTCGGCCGGCCGGCCAGCACGCCAGCACGCCGGCCGGCCGGCCGGCGGACTATGAAAGCATCCAATTAGGAATAGGGCAAAAAATTGTCTGAATATTAGTAGTATCGGCTTTCTTACCGCATCCTCAACTTGACGCTTATAGGTCTTGATCTTCTGTTGTAGTTTTTCGACAAGATCGTACATGCGCTCTGAAGACTTTTTATCCTCATCCACCTACAATGTAGCTCATCATGATATTTCGGAAGTGTGAGTTTTCCAAGAGGATAGAGACACTATTCTGGCCTGGAATTGAAGCTCTCTGCATCTTCTGTCTTTATTCCGTAGGTTTTTCACTGCTTCGGCATGCCGACGGCTCTCCGCTTCCAGTTCGGACTCTAATTCACGACATCTGAATTTTTCAGCTTTAAGCAGCCATGCAGGATGTAGATGAGAATGGAGAATGTCGCAAGCCATTCATACAGAAGGTACATGAGAAAGGAGTGTCGGAAAGACCTAACATTCAATTAATTTTGTGACAACCGATGCCCTACGGTAATTACGAGTTCATTCTCGGGAAAACAGTGAGTTGTCTCGTATACTTCTGCCTGCATGTCCCATCTACGGTTTGATCAGGAATAAATAAAGAATCATACGTAGCAACACACAAATGCTATAAATCAAACAACTCGCACTTTGCATCCAGTTTTGCTAGCGCCCTCTTCCCTCCTTTCATTGACTGCGCCTCAGCTTCCTCAAGACGTGCTTGCATTTCCTAAATATAGAGAAATACATAAAAGACCAATAACATCATCGAAGTTCCGAGTTGATTCGCGAAATACACTACAGGAAGCACTCAATATAAGTTTCCTATGAATGAATATCACGTGATTCGAGAAGAAGTGTACAGTGTTGCATGCTGATCTCTGATCAGCACTATTCAACCTTTCAGAAGTTGCTTGCTGCGGATCTAGTAATAAAGTGATCGCGACACAGTAACGAAAACAGCGTTGTCTTGTATCACCGTGCAAGGATCACTTGGTCATGGACAAAGAGCAGGGTTCTCACTGATGAACACGACTGGATCGCCCTCACTTCCGATTCCCTTGCGCTGCGACGAGCTTGTTTTTTTTCTACTTTTGAGCTTTAGACAAGAAGCAATTCCATTCGTACACTAATGATTCTATACATATTCCTCGAAAGCTCATCCGATAGTAAGCGGCTTACTCGTCTAGGACCACATGTACTAACTCAGGAGTTTGAGAAATTATTTAAGCACCACCTTTAATTGCGATTCTAATGCTTTTCGAACTTTGTCAAGACTCTGGATTTGCTCGTGTTCAGCTTGCAATTGATCGGTGAGCCTTCCTGTTTCAACAGCGCTCTGTAAAATTGTTCCCAGGATTTCGAATTCTGTTCTCGAAGAGATAAACAAAAGTGGCATACCTTTCTGACACGTTCATCGGCATTCTTCAATTCGTTAAGAGCATCTTCCATTTCTGACTGGAGTTGCTGAAAATACATCGAATAGCTGATGTTCGTCGATGGTTCTTGGGATAACATAACTTCTATATGGTTTAGACTACGGATACTGACGAATGTTCATAAATGTTTGTTTTTTCCAGGGTTTGGAGAAGCCATCTATTTTGGAAGGCCGTTGGTCGTAAAAAACAATTAGCTAAGAGTTCTTCCCATTCAAGCCTACGATCAAGTTCGTTTTTACATTCCCTTCGCAAAGAAGACAGGCAATTGGTGTTTATGTACTATTCGTATGTCTCAAAACCCGGTGCTCCATCAATACGTAATGCTCGGGCCTACCTCTGAACTTTGAGTCCATCATTCCTTTTTTTGAACGAACATCTCAGATGTCATATGAAAGGTTCTTGAGATTTGGGTTCACGAAATCTTTGCGTTTACTGCGGTTGGGAACTCTGTCGGAGAAAGGTTGCTATGCAGTATTCGCAGTACGAAGCTCTTACTTTTCGAATTTTGTTGCTATTTTTGATATTCTAATGATTGTGATGGTACTTGTGCTCTAGTGGTAGCCAATTAAACATCTTAAACGTCAATCCTTACCTGAATCTCGCCCTCCAGCTTCCGTTTTTGGGCACTGAGTGCAGCATTAGTGTTTGATAAGGAGCTCGCGGTTTCTTTGCTGTCTGCGCATTCGAACTCAGCTTGACGGCGAGCTCGTTCGGCCTAAAAATCCGCATGACATGACACAAAAGTGGCTTCTAGTAAGCTTTCATCAGAACACAAGAACATGTCCACAGCGCTTTCGCAGTGTCTCTAAACTACCAATTTTTAAAAAGTGAATTTTCTTGACTACTGTGGTTGGACTAGATCACCATTTGAAAAATATGTGTAACAAGGACCTGCTCAAAGGCTACGACCAGTTCGTCTTTCTCCTGTTGAGCTATTTGAGCGCGCCGTTCTGCAACCAGCACCTGCTCACGTGCTTCATCTCTTGACCGCTGCTCCTCCTCTACTTGTAGCTTAAAGAGGTCTTTTGAACAATTTTAAGTTATCACAGCTGACTCCTAATCGTGATCACTTACCTGAAGTTCTCTGGTAGTGTCTTGATATCGTTTGAGGTTTTTCTGTGCATCCGCATTAGCTTTATTGGAATGGTCTAAGGCGATCTCCAACTCCTATAATTATAATTATAATTATTATGCCTGGTTAAAGATTAGAATTAGTGGATTCTGTAGAGCAGTTTTTGAGTGTACTGTCGTATGGGTTCAGCAGGGAGGCTTGTGGATCTTTCCGATTTATCAATTTTTTTTTTGAAGTGAACACATAAAAATCAAAAACGAAGCTTTCACAATATAGATTGAGAATATTGGCACTTTCTTGGACAAGTTAAGCCATTTGCCCAGAAGATCGAATAGGTCTCAACTGATATCTGAAATCCCTGAAAGTTTTAAATGCTCTTTTTGCAAGTTGTGCATCAACGGCTGCATTAAATGGTAAAGAAGAAATAGGAAAAAATGCGAGTAATAACGCTGTATCAACAATCGGGTACTAGCCGATCTAAGTGAATTTCAACTACAGTTGGAGCGACGAGTAACTTTTGTGACAAAACAAGAGAACTTTTTTTCTCGTTTGTAAGAATCCCTTCACTAGAAAAGTCATTGATGCAGCAACAGTCGCTTTTTTTACTGGGTCAAATACTTTTTAACAACTCAGCAACTAATCAGTCGACTGGGCTCTTGAATAGTATTTTTATGCTACAGTTGGCGACTGATAATATCAGTGTCGAAAGCAGCTATCATGGTCCTTCTCATCCTCATACTAGTGATCGAGAGTACCAAATTTTTGGTGGTTTTGGCATATATGATATCGGAAGGAAAGGAAGCTGTGGTTCCTAATTTAGCCGCAATTCTTGATGGATAGAGGTTGTAATCAAATGCAATATTTTTACAGATTTCGCCCCATCATCGATACATCTTGCTCCTCCTCCTGTCTCCTCGTTTTGAACGCTTACGGCATGTGTATATGAAGACCATCCCTATCGTCAACTGCTGTTCTCCTTATTCTACATTTGACGAAGTAGAGCTCGATGCGTTCCATTTCAGCTGGTAGAGTCATCCACAACGAGGAGTCCATCTACAAGCCATTGTCGGAGATTCAACGCTAGGCTAGGCGAACCATCAGCAGAGAAGTACAAGATCGAAAAGCTTGGAAGGGGATAGGAACGAGAACGGAAACCGTCGGCAGGGCTTCTGTCCTCAGCTCGACCCTTCCATGGCAACTATTTTTTCAGAAGAAAGTGCATCACCATCGAACCTGGAAGTTTCTAAATTGTACAAATCATGCTTAACTGGACTACATATTGACGCCCTAGGTCAAGTACGACAGGGATATTGATTCCCGGGTCAACATACACACCACACACTGCTTGAGTGGGTTTCAAAGTTGTAGTGCTGGCCACTGCTACTGAAATGTACATTTCATATTCATCTGAAACTTGTCCATTTCAAACGCTTCTAGCGATGAATTCTATTCCGTCAATACTCCTCTGGAGGCTGTGCGCATACTTTAGAATGATCACAGGGTTCAACCCTGTGAAATCGTCATTCTTCTCGATATATTTTATAAATGACGTGTGGAACTGTGAAGTGAGCCATGAGCTTTAAAAAATAAAAAAAAAACTGCTTCTTCACGCTATGTTTCCATTCGTTGTGCCGTTTTTGCAGGTCAATTATTATTCACGGATGTACACCTGACGCTTACGTTTATATCGGCCTCCAGTTTCTTCTTCATTCTCAGTAGCTCCGCACGACCACGCGACTCACTTTCTAGAGAGGCCTGCATGCTTTCCAATGCTCGATGATGATTCTTGCGGGTGTTCTCAAACTCTTCTTCCTGAAAAGACTGGTTTGGAAATGAATGGAATCTGATGGAAGTAAATCTCCCCATAAACAACCTAGCGGGCCTTTTTGGCCGAACATTTTGCTATAAAAAGTTGCTTTTCGACCTGGTTATTGTTTAATCTATTCTTGCTCATTGCAAGAACTGACGTAAGAGTTATTGACTGTTCCTTTTTCCCCACTCTCCGTCTTCCAAAGTGGGTTACAGATGAATCTCCCACGATAAACGAACAGCTTCACATATTTTGAAATCGATTTCAGGGAAGAAGAGGTATTCGAAAGAATTGACTGGAGGTTCGATATCTACACATTTCATTTGAACTTTTTTGGCGCTGGAACGAGTGTTCTCAAAAATCAGTTCATAGCGATAAACGACAAAACAATAAAACAGCGCCTGCACCAATACTGTTCAACACAATTAGTGAAAAAAATACAATGGCTAACTGCATAAGAACGCACAGATGATCGGTGCCCATCCTCTTCTTCGTCTCCGATACAGAAGTGCATTCCCCGATATAAAAAAATTGTGATGGGTGCCCTTCCCCACTGCACATTTTCTCGCGTATTCGAATGGCTGCTTTCATAGTCCGCCGGCCGGCCGGCGGACTATGAAAGCAGCGCTAGGGAGGGAGGAGGGAGGCAGACAGATAGGCAAACAGTCCACGCCCCTTCTAAGGGCTGAAAACAAACACCCTTCAAAGGGTCGTGGACTGTTTGCCTAACACTGTCTGCCTCCCTCCTCCCCCCTAGCACTGCCTCCGCCGGCACGCCGGCACGCCGGCCGACCGGCCGGCGGACTATGAAAGCAGCCAATTCGATTACGGTGTCGTTACACATGCGTTCCAAGAAAAAAAGAGCGGTAGAAGAAAGGATTAACTACCCCATTCTACGAGCAACCTTTCAGCGCATCTGAAATTTTGTGTCACACCCTAGGCAGCTAGCTTACGTAACGCGACGCCAAGGATTATATACAAGCGGTGGTCGGGGTCTCGACCGTTTTTTCTTCGTCTTCTTACCCTATCGAATACATTAACGTTTGGAATTATAATGGATATAACGTTTAGGAAGAAGAGCCTATCTCAAACCTTCTCCTGGAGACGTTTTTCTATTTCAGATCGAACTTGTGATATCTCTACTTGTGCTCGAAGAACTTTCGATTCCTCCGCTTCTAGAGCAGCTTCAGATTCATCCAGTGCTTGCTGAAAATGGTCTTCACTTTTGAAGTATCACAACAAAATCGCTAACAATTCAATTCGTAGCCATTTTCATGTCTCGCTTCTCCGAACAAATCGGAATGATTTCAGGAATGATTGAGCTGATGAGTATACCTGCAATTCTTCCTTTTCGAGCTCCAGACGTCTTCTTGCTTTCTGAAGGTCGTGCACGCTCTTGCCACCTTCACCAAGTTGATCAGTGATGTCTTTGAGTTCCTGGGCAAGCGACTTGTTCTCACGACGAACAGCATCGACCTGAAGTTGAAGTGATTCTTGAAGATTGTGGACCTGATAAAGTGGATCCAGACGAAGTAGAGGTTGGAGAAGCTTCATATGATAGCATTGACCTGTTCAGAAGCTTCTTCAAGCTGATTACGGAGTCGCATCGCTTCTGTAGCTGCGGCACGAGTGTCGCGTTGACTGGATTCCACCTCCTGCACAAGCGCCTCGCATTTTCTTCGCCACTCGTCAATAATTTTGTCGAAACCCTTTTGTTTCTTCTCTAATGAGCTAGCCATCGCATTCGCCTGAATTCCGTTTAAATAGCTTGTCTCACAAAGCCAAAGTTCATGAAAGCGGCATCATAACATGTAGGGTCAGGGGTTGTCACTGCTTTTGATATTGATGATGGTACTGCTGCTCATGGCGCCATAGCACAGAGGGTAGTCATGCAGAAAAAGCTGGTATCGAAGTCGCTTTGTAAAAGATTAAACGTCAAACCCACTCGGTCCGCGTCGACCTGTGCATCCTCCAACTCGTGAACAAGCCTCTGTCTGGTCTTTTCCAGTGAACTGATCTTCTGATTCGCGCTTTCCAGCTGTTCCTGAACCTCTTGCACCTAAAGAGAATTGTGATTACGAGGCCTTGTTAACACATTCAGCAATATTGTAGCTACCGCAGCACCGAGAGTTTCGACACACTATATTTCCCTACCTTGTTGGCTAGTTTCCGTCTGGCCTCTTCTAACTCTTCAGCTCTATTCATACCTTCGCCCTCAAACCTTGCACGCCATTGTTGTGTTTCCGCATTTGCTTTGCTGTAAAGGTTGTTCAGAAGGATGAGACACGATTGTCAAAGAAATGTTGAAGTATCACAATTCATGCAAACCTAATCAGGCGCTGCAGCTCAGTTTTTGTGTCCTGTTCCTCTTCCAGGGCTTCTCGCAGTTGCTCACATTCCAATTGATAATTGGATAACTTAAATATGTGTTGTGTTGGGAAAAAGTTACACGCTGAGGTATCACTGCTGAGGACAACTATCAATTTTGAACTCTTCAGTACGGGCTTGCTTGAGGAGAAAATTCGCATTTAAATATCATTTAAGAACACTTTTGGCTATTTTTGCAAATAAATGTTTTCAGCCTTTTACAGTATAAGTTCAATCCCAAAAAGGAGCTAATTTATTATTGAGTGAGCCCTTGCATTACTAAAATACATAGGACATTCGACAGTAGCCGCATGTGCTCTGACATTACACAAACGCTTGTGGACTCAGACGGTACAATTCCGGGTTTATGATTGTGGGCGAAGACGACGCAAAATACAGGCTACACAAAAATGATTTCATTTCCTGTAGCGGAACAACCTTCCGGTGACACCGTTTCTACCATTGACGGAAATCGAAAGTCAAATCTTTTCGAGATTTATTCCATACCTGCATTTGGAGCCCTTGCTTTTCCCTAGTTTCCTGTTCAATTTGTTTGCGAGCTTCTTCAGCCTGGGCGTGAAGCTGCTGTTTGATACGACTGAGAGCGTTTAGTTGTGACTCAGCATCTTCCAATTGCCTGGATTAACAGACACTGTTATCCAAACTATGAAAAATTTTCTACTTATCCATGTCAGTTTTTATTAGGTCGTAAGGAAAACATCTGTCGAAAATTGCGAAGTGAACTAGATTTGCAAGGATTTTCCGGGAGACTCTCATAGAAATACTATAAAAAGAAACTGTAATTGTGCGTGCAGACCATATCAGCAGATTCCACAATCTTGCAATCGGCTGACCAGATCGAGGTTCATCTTCGAACTTTTTTGCATCAAGCTCGGAAGCATTAGGTCGAGGTTCGCAGAAAATCACTTAGAAGGGTTACGCGAATGCTTGACTTGAGTTTCGATCAGCATCGGAAGCTGAGTGGGTCTATTCGAACGTAAGGAAGTACGTTTCGTTCCGAGATTGGGTAGATATTCCAATTATTCCATGTTCAAATGAGCAAGGAAGAGATGACAAGAATGCCATGCGTGTACGCTAGGAAGTGACCTCAAATGGAAGCTGAAGCATTGAAGCTTCCAGAAAATCCGGGAGTATTGCGAAGTAAGGCCTAATTTTGGAAGTTACTTTACATTTAACCTGGTAGTTTTCAATGGAAACCATAAATTGACTTAGGCAACTAACAGCAGCTCACCTGTTAAGCTCGCTGTTTTCACCCTGCAGTTTTCCTCTGTACATGGTCAGCTCTTGGATGCTACGAGCCTGTTCGTCACTCTTTAGCGTCATGTCCGTGAGTTGAACTTCAAGCTGCTTAGCAAGACGTTCCATATTCTGGAATCAGAAAAGCTACATGAACAACATTCCAGAATATCTACAGTCAGAAGCAGTAAACGCACATGTTTCTTATTTACAAGCCGTACAGTGATTCTTCACTCCTTTATTATAGGAGTCGTGAACAACTCTGGTATAACTTTATTTAGGGAATCTCTGTCCCCTCTTTTTTTTGCATGTATGAAGTTTTCCAGAACATCGCTAAATCGTCTTTGCGCACTCCAATTTCCATGCTGTGGAAGTTGTTTGTTTTGAAGGCTCACTATGAGACAAACATATGTAAGTACAGAGATTAATGCACTCTTTATACTACATATATATATATATATATATATATCTGTCGCAGCATTTCGCAATAGTTATGACGTAAGGAATCGCCTCGAATCAAAGCAAGTCAGACTGCTGCTCTTTTATGAGTGCAGAAAAAAGCAAATCCAAATCATGCCACAAGGAACATATGCGATGCGATGAAACCCTTTACTATCTCCTACTTCACGATAAGGAATTGGTACTATAAGTCCGAAAACGGATACTTTTTGACATGACCGGGAAACCACCGCCTGGGAGGCCAATTGAGCTGAGTCTTGAACACTTTCATAATCTGGTTGCAGAGTAATCTATACAAAGTACCAACGAGCTGGCACAGAAGCTCGCTAGCCACCAATACACAATAGCCGCCCATTTGCATCGCTTCGGAATATCTCGGAGATACGGCGCATGGATTCCACATGAGCTGAGAAGTCACCAGCTCCAAACGAAAATAGATGCATAAGACTTCGTTGACTTCCTAAACTATGCAATGCTGAACGGCGACGACAGCTGGGATCTCTTCTAAACCTCAAGGTGGAACCCAGTAGCTTGGACGCAGAGAGATGGGGTTCTGACACCAAAACAGAGTTCCAACCTAAACATACTCAGTGTTTAGTGGAATTCGAAAGAGATCGTCCGTGAGAGTTGCTGTTATCAAACTCCACTGGGACCCATCGTCGAAGTGTATTTTTCACAGCTGTACAGCGTTGCTGCAGCTCTACGAGAGAAACATCGGAAAGTATAGTTTCTCCACGACAATGCTCGCCTACACAGTGCGAAAAAGACCCAGTAGAAACATCAAAGCTTGGGATGGCACATTCTGACCCACATATTGTTTTTACCAGATCTGGGTGCAACAGGCTACCATCATTTCTGTCGCTATCGATCCATTTGAAAAATAAAGTTCGACGATGTCAACAACCCGAAACATGCACCGGCGAGTTTTTGTCCTCGAAACCTCAGGATTTCTACACAAGCAGGATCCACAAGGTGCCTGATAAGTGGCAAAACGTTATCGGTGACCGTGATGCATATATTTGCTAATTGTTACTAGTGGTAAAGGGAAAAACAAATTCAAGAAAATTAAAATGCGCAGAGACTTTTCTGACAACCTAATATTTTGATACTACTTTTCAGTGGTAGACGGAGTTTGTAGAAACTCCGTAATTCAATCCACTTGCGACTGATTCAACGAATACATACCTGTCTCTGTTTTGCTTCACTATCGACAGCAGACTGTAGCTCTTCTATTTCGCGCTGCTGCTGCGCTTTATCCTTTTCGAGCCTAAATAATTTCAGTTATCAGAATCTGAACTGAAAAGAACATGCTACCCTTCGAAAGTGAACAGAACCACGGGTTCTACTCCACTCATGAGCTACAGGGTGGGCCAAAATTATGATTACACAGAAATCACATCGCAGAGAACGAATAGAAAGCCAATAGAGCAAACCAATTCCATTAAAGGGTTTAGCACAAACTTCTTATCAAAACTGTACATTGAGACTGGGATCTGTTGCTTTCTGCTTTCACCCAACCCCAAAGACGACGATGGACGGCATTGACGGTGGCACGCAGCTAGGGTCATCGAAGTGGTCCCGGCTTTTTGCTAAGCATTTTCGAGATTATTTCTTCTCTTGTTTGGGCTAAAGGATGCTTTCATCTCAGAGGCTGACCACATTGAGACATTCATGGGATTTAGGTCAGGGCTCCAGAGTGGTCACTGATCGAAAGTTATGAAGTCAAAAAACCCCTTTCACGAAATTTCTAGACAATTTCTGTTCTGCGGACAGGAGCTTCATCGTGACAATATGACCGGTTCGAATCACCAAAGTGTTCTATTGCGCACGAAGAGATCAAACAGGCCTCCAAACCAACTTCCACTCCATAATTTACAAAAATAATCTGTGTCTAGTGGGCCAGGCGCTGTATCACTTTCATTTCTTTAAGCTTCATATAAATGTTATCGCTCTACTTATTGAGCACCTATTTCACTGTGAATCTTTTCTCGTCGGTGAACAGGAACTCCGTAGGACAATTTTTTCGGATGCGACAGGCAGCTTTTGTTAGCCAACCCTTCTCTTCTCTTTAACCTGCTCTCTGGGGAAATCACTTTCTGATCGTATG